GCAAGATGGAAGTGAGAGCAGTGCTGACCATCTCGTTTCCCCTCTACAATGCCTGCAACTGGCCCCTTCTTCTCTCTGCTGTGTCATGGAAGGCCTTTCCCGCTGCTCTTGTGTTCTCCATCATCATCAGAGATGATGAACCAGTAGCACCACAGCACAATTAATATAGGGGATAATTTCCACCCAACTATGCTCTACATCAGGAGCATTTGGGACAGCTGACATGATGTTGTTCATGACAGATGTTGAGGGGCATGAAGTAGCCTCTTACAGGTCAGACGTCTGTTTTTCTCTACACTCGCAAGGTATTGTTTTGGCGCAAACCCCCCATTTGCTTAGGTTCATCTTGGTCCTGCCAACTCCACTCCATTGTCTATAAAGCAACTTCCAAGTAAACCCATTCTCTATGTGACTGGGGGCTAGACTTTTCTAGGGTTCAATCTCTTTTTTCAGTTGTGTAGAACTTCCTCTCTACATTGGAGTCCCGGAATTCTCTACTGTAGAAAATCTTCCTGCCTTCCTCATCGATGGAGATGTTATTTTGATCCATACTCTACTGCTGCAGATGTTGCTGTAGGACAATGAATGTTTTTTAAGACCTGTAATGACTTTCTTGTTATGGTAATTGCCCTTTGTGTATTTGTAATATTATTAATGCTTGTTATGTGATTTGTTACTAGTCCAAAATAAATGATGCACTTGGCACTTAAACCTACCCACCTTTTGTATTTGATTTTCTGTTAATGCCCTGTCCCACAGCTTCATGTTCATTTTCAGTTGCTTCATATGTCCTCATCTTGCAGTTCCTATTCTTCCACTGATATGCTTCTTTCTTCATTTACATGATCAGGCAAATGATCATGTTTACACAGCATAAAATTTATCTTCTGCGCACCAGGTTCCCTTCTGAGATGGATTTTTAATGGGTGTAATAAAAGCACACTTATTGAACTGTTTGGTATGCAACTTAGCAAAAAAAAAAGTATCAAGAAAAACTTTTATGTGATTCCTTGAGCATCACCATTTTGCCTCCTGTGAAATTTTACCCTGATCAACCACAACACTGACAGGTGAAGTGAATAACATTTATTATATCATTACAACGGCACTTGTCAAGGGGTGGGATATATTAGCCAGCAAGTGTACAGTCTGTTGTTGAATTTTGTGTGTTAGAAGCAGGACATTTTGGCAAGTGAAAAGATCTGAGTGACTTTGACAAGGACTGAATAGCGATGGCTAGATGGGTCAGAGCATCTCCAAAATGGCAAGTCTTGTGGGGTGTTTCCAGTAGGCAGTGCTTCCTATGTACCAAAAGTGGTGCAAGGAAGGACAACCATGAATCAACATCAATGTTGCAGGTGCCCAAGGCAAATTGATGCACGTGGGGAGCAAAGGCTAGCCTGTCTGGTCCAATCACACAGTACAGCTACTGTAAGTCAGATTACTGAAAAACCTAATGCTGGCATGATAAACAGGTGTCAGAACGCATGGTGCATCGCTGTTTGCTGCATATAGGGGCTGCACAGCTACAATCTGGTCAGACTGGTCAGAGTGCCCATGATGATGATGATGACCCTGTCCACTGCCAAAAGTGCACACAATGGGGACGTAAACATCAGAACTTGACCATGGAGCAATGGAAGAAGGTTGTCTCCGACCAATCTTTTAATCTAATAACTTGTTTCTCCTTAGTACATTTTCTAAACTCATTTTCAAATTTGCTCAAAACGTCTTTAACTCTACTACTGGTGGTAATAAAGAAGTTATTGGGATAATTCTTTTTCTTTCTTTTTTTTACACCAAATCTGTAAGATTTTTAAGGAAACGTTTCTTTTTAACAATACTCTTATTATTTTCTAAAAGAATATTATCAAGATACCCACCAACTTCCTGCAGTTCCAACTTTATCCATATTAGACTAGGCTGAGATACAATATTTGGTATATGACTCATTTGATTACCTATATAATCTTTTATTAGGAAGACCTACCCCGTCATGGATTGCTGCCTTGTCGTGGCGAAGGGGCTTGAGTAATTCAGAGAAGCTATGGGCTATGCCATGCAGGGACACCCAAGATGGACAGGTCATAGTGGAGAGTTCTGACCAATGTGGAAGACAGGAGGGCCTGGCATGCTCTAAAGGCTAAAAGATATGACGCTGGAAGATGAGCCCCTCAAGTCGGAAGGTGTCCAACATGCTACTGAGGAAGAGCGGAGGACAAGGACAAGTAGCTGCAGAGCTATTGAAGTGGTCAAAGCCGAAAGGACGCTCAGCTGCAGATGTGCCTGAAAATGAAAGTCCAATACTGCAAAGAAAAATAATGTATAGGAAACTGGAATGTAAGCTATGAACCTTGGTAAGCTGGATGTGGTCAAACAGGAGATGGCAAGAATAAACACTGACATCCTGGGGGTCAGTGAACTAAAATGGATGGGAATGGGGAAATTCAATTCAGTGTCCAACTCTTTGTGACCCCATGGACCAAAGCAACATCCAGGAAAGCTCTCTAAAGGTGTCATCCTGTTGCATGACAACACCTGGTCACACACTGCAGGGGAAACAATGACAAAACTGACATCCTTAGGCTTTCAAGTGATGCCCTATCCACGCTATTCTCCCAACCTGGCTCAGAACTATTATTTGTTCCCCAAATTGAAAAAATACCTAGAGGCAATAATTTGGGAGTGTTCTGGAGGCAACTAACGCTGCAAATGAGTGGTTACACTGGCAGTCGGAAGAATTTTATTTGCAGGGACTTAAGAACCTGCAGGACAGATGTCCCAAGTGCATTGACTTCTTTGGGGGCATATGTAGAATAGTGTGGCACTAAAACAGCTTCCTGGCTCAATTTTTTTTTCTGGGAAAGGCTCAGTACTTATCAGTACCCCCTGGTATAACAAGACAAAATAAAACGAAAGTATTGCGACTCCTTTAAGAGTAACAGGTGTATTTCAGTGTCGGCTTTCCTAAATTACTGTCCACTTTCTCAGACGCTGAGCCAGATGGCTATAATCCAGGAAAACTCATGCTGAAATAAAACACTTCGAAAACGGGGTTACGGTATCTAGGAAAGCTCACACTGAAATAAATCAGTTTTTAAGGGCGCCAGTCTTGTTTTTCCTGTTTTTACAGACTAGCGCAGCTAACTTTCCGAAAACCGAAATCAAAGTTAGGTTTGGATTGTTAGCTGAAAATTCCCCCTACAAATTAACTTTCAGGGTGCATTCTATGTTAAATTGCTCATTCAGATCCCGTCCCAATCTCGATTCCCAGAATACAGAAATCAGCAGGTTAGTCTTTTCTTCTAATGACTCGCAAACCGAGATGCCGCATTTTAAAGGCTACAAACGTTTTTAGTTTTTTAAAATCGATTAAATAAATCCTAGATTAGAAAGAATGCCCGCTTTTTCTGCTTCCCCCCTCCTCAGTGCCAGGCTTGGCTGGGGCTGATGGGAATTGTAGACTTCAGCGTTTGGACTGCCCTAGGCAAGTTTTTTGAACGCGGAAGGCCATTCCTTGCGTGTGTCTCTCTCATTTCTATCTCTTCGGTTGGCAAAACTTGACAATCCGTTTTCACTTTGCTCCACTAGAGAAGCGCCGCGAGCAAAAGCAAAGCGTGCCTGGCGTGCCGTGTTGCGCATGCGTGTCGTGCGGCCCGTCGTAAACTACCCATCTCGGAACCTGCGGGAGTTGATTTTGGAGCGAGGTGCTCGCGGGCGACCTGCTTCCGGGTACCCTCCTCCTACCCGTCCCGTGCTTTGCCTTATTGTTCTTCCCTTATGGCGGCAGGCAGCGAAGATGGCTGGAAAAGAAAACAATTTGGCAATCGTTTCCTCACCGATCCGGCTCGCCTTTTCCAACATAACGCCTGGTAAGGAAAAGAAGAAGATTGGGATTATGCTTTCCGGAGAGATTGCCTTTTTTTCCGGGCGAGAACAGTGGTCCGTTCTAGTTTATCCATTGTTTCACATAGACCTCACTCTTCGCGAAATAAAAATAAAAAGCAGATTTCCCTGCGTTCATTCTTCGACAAGCCTTCAGCTTCGAGCCTTGAATACAACAAGTATTCCTATGATTTAGAGAATGCCATCAAATCGGGAAGATGGGTTCTTGCCCATGGAGGTTACCGTCTCGATTTCACCCAAGGGGAGGGAAATAAGGGGGTAAAGATTAGGCAAAACAGAAAAAGAGGGGTCAGATCCTTTGCGTATACTCCCTAGATTTCGTTTCGGCATCGGTGTGAATTGGGTCTTGAGCCTAAAGCGTCATAGGAAGTGAAAATTATAAGCAGGATGTTGAAATGAACACATGGGTTTGTGGAAATGGGTTTTCTGTTGCCTTTCTAAACCTTTACAGCTGTACTATTCCCCAACTCACTGTGGATTTCGTACATTTTTCGTTATTTTTGAATCATTCTGCTGAACTTATTTTTAGTTGTCCTTCAGTCCAGTATCTGCTGTTTCTCTTACTCCATTCCACAGGAAAATACTGTACATGGTTTTCATTTTCTTCAAAATTATCCTGAGTGTGCATATAATTATGTCTGCTGGTACCTCAGTATTATAAGACTGGTTCTGAACAACTGGATTGCTTGGACATTAAATAGACTGGATTAACACTTTACCTCCCTCCCGCCTTTCTGCAGGGATAACGTAGAATGGTCTGAAGAACAGGAAGCTGCTGCCCAAGCAAAGGTCCAAGAGAACAGCTCAGAGTTTGTATCGCAAGATCAGCAAGGTAGTCTTGGTTTGAGAAAAGCAGTGATCCTTCACTTTCTATAAAGAGCTGCAGCTGTAACAACATTATTTTGACCACCAAGCCAGAGTTGTTTCTGATTAAATCATAATGAAGTAAATGGGACAAATTAGTGTCTTCCTTTGCTCCAGACTGTGTCCATATTTTAGATATGCCAAGATTGTGTCATGAGAATTTTGTATTGGCAATGCAGAATTAATAATAATTAGGTACTTTATTGCCCCATATCAGGCCTGAATGGTCATCTTCCATAGAATGCTAAGGGCGCATACTTAATCATCGATGGGATTTGCTTATGTCTCCTACTGGGTTCAGTGGGCCAGAATGATTCAAATCACATTTAGATATCTGATTACTTGACAAAGACTGAACTGCATTCTATGCCTGCCAATATAAATACTTGGGGGAGAATGTTACTGTTCTCGTGCATGTTATACCATACCTGAACTTTCACAGAGAACATTTCTGCCTCTGCATGCAGAAAATCTGCAGACAACCAGGAAAGGAGATGTGAAGGCTTGGGACTGGGCAGAAACAAATCCACGAGAAGTTTCCCTCCATTTCCTTCCAAATTATTTATTAATTTTTTTCTTTGAAAAAAAAATGAGAACTTGAATTACAGAATACTTTTATGTTACAGTAGCCCAAATACTGTTGCTTCACAATTGCACAATAGGCCCATTGAATCAATGGAGATTTGGCAAGTCAGCTCCTTTTTAAGTTCCAGTGATTTAAATAGGCCTACTTTAATTGCAACTTTAGCATAGTATGTTGTACTTAGAGAAAGACCATCTGAGTCAATGGAACCTATGGAGAAGTTGATTAACCAAATCCCCATTGATTCACTGGCCCTGCTCTAGTGCTGTTTTCTATGCTAAACGACAGGATTTTGGCCACTGATGAACAACATGTAGTGTTCATATATCACTACTGGGCATTCATCCTCCCAAATATATTCTAGCATACGTAGAGCTTGATGGAGGAAAAGAACTTCAAAATGCTGTAAAATACAGAACACTTCCAGTTATTAGGCCAGGAATGCACTCTGGGAATCTGGCAAGCATATCTTTTCTATAAGATGGTGGCACAGCTTTTGCACAGCACAGGTAATCCTCCTCCTCAGCTGCCGCAGATTCTTTGTTGTTCTTCAGTGTGTGAAAGAAACTGAACTATGTTTGGAAATACCTCAGATCAGCAAATAAAATGATCTGTGAAAGGCTAGAGGAGCTTGTCTCAATCCGGACAAAGTTTATTGAGATCTCCATGAAGGGTGATCAAAATGAAGGATTAGAAAAAACAAAAACTGCTGAGAACTAAACAAGAAACAACTTATTTAACTATAAAAAGACAGTTCCAAGGTGTATTTGATGTAAATCAAATCAAATTAAATCAGTATTTAAATTTTTTAAAATCAGATTTTAAAAAATCATTTTAAAAAACATTGATTTCTATTCACCCTAAACAGTTCCAAGTCAAACTGGGAAATAAAGTTTCTTACTATGAGTGACTAAGCAGTGAAATATGTTTCAGGAGGCCATGGGATTTCCCTTCCTGGCACAAATTTCAAGGAAAATCTGGCTAGGTGGTTTCATTCAGCCAAATGTCTTAGATCAATGTTCCCCAACCCAGTATCTTTTAGATATTTTGGATTACAGCTCCTCTGTAATCCTCTTTAACCAATAGATTACAGAGGAGCTTTAACCAATAGTTAAAGAGGATGGGAATTACAGTTGAAACAAGTCGGTTTAGGGAAGACTGTCTTAGATGCAGTCTATCTTGTTGCAAGGGTACAACGCTGGACAAAGAAACCCTTGAGGTTTTTCTAGATTTACAATTTGGTCCCTTAGTATTTCCTAAATGTGACTAATGTATTTTGGCAAAGACATTAGAGTTCAGTTTTGTTGACTTGCATTTTTTATTTCTTTTTGCAGATGTTTATGAGATGAATGCCCACAAATACTGGAATGACTTCTATAAAACCCATGAAAATGGTTTTTTCAAGGACCGACACTGGCTGTTCACTGAATTCCCGGAGTTGGCGCCAAATCAGCATAACAGCCACGTTGCCATATGTGCCTCTCAGGACACTGTAGAAGATGGCAAAAAAATAGGCTCTGGGTGTTGCAATGACAATGGAGTCACCTCAGTGGAGCCTGAGGTCTCCAAAAATCTAGATGGGGAGAAAAACAGCAACAGTCCTTTCTACCACTTGAACACAAAAGATGAAATAGGAACACAGAAGCTAGAGGAAGAAAAACTAAGAGAGATTGACTTCCCAGGCTCATCTGCTACTTACCGTATACTAGAGGTAACTACACAGTAAAGTCGAACTTCAGAATGGCCATGGTGTGCAAAGCTAATGATCCTGCTTAACTCAACATCTTAACTACTGATAATGGCCAGCTGAATGTGTCAGGGAAATTATAGACAAGAGTTCTGATGGTGGAATATACCCTTGTTAATTTTGTTATGTAGTTAGTGGAGAAATATTGGCCATGTATATGGCACTCTGCTGGTATCTGCCATGCTTATTAGCCACCAGTAGATCATTTGGCAGAAGTCATGGATATTGGTGGTGACGCATTTCGGAGACATTATTACGCATCATATGAAGAAAACTTGCCAGCTGTATACATTCAGGCATGTTGTCACAGTTTTGCTACATTATCATGAGTCCTGTAGTTTGAAATGTTTGACAAGAGCACAGAAAATGTGTGAAAATAAGTAGCTACCAATCTTTGGATCAAATGCAATCCCTGAGACTATATGACATCCCTGGGAAGGCAGAAAGCATTTGTGGAAGGAGCACTGATAATCACAAGGCATGTTAGCCATCTCCATAAGGGTGCTCTAAAGCCCTTGCTATCCACACTCAGTTGCTTACTTAAGAGAAAATACATTTGTTCTAATAAAGAAGGATATACGGGGAAAGGACTTTTATTTAACAAAAGCATCTTACAAGGTAAAATATGTAATAGAAATCATTTCCAGAGTGATAAGATATGGCAAGTCTGTTGCTTCTAATCCAACAAAATGCCTTATGCTTCAATACTATTGCATTCATTCTGACATAAAAGTGTTTTATCATTGTTTAAAATACTCTGTTTTATTGCCAGGTGGGATGTGGTGCAGGAAATACAGTCTTTCCTATCCTCCAGACCAACAAGTAAGAAAAAATGCATGCTGATTGCAAAGCCAAATTTAGAATCCAGTGGGGTGGGGGGTTTGCCATGATCCTACGATATTGTCTGCCTAAAGTAAGTCCCATGGCATTCACTGGGACTTGCTTACTGATAGAGTCTACATTTGGTGTACCTAGTTTACCATCTTCCACTTCATCCTTGAAACAGCCAGTCTGTCTGCTATCAGGCGCCCACATTTTTAAATTAGAAGTTGGCTTCTCTCTGTGTTCATTTGGTCAACTTATATTGTATTGTTCATTTCAGTGATCCAGGCTTGTTTGTGTACTGCTGTGACTTCTCTACTACAGCAGTGGACCTTGTCAAGGTAAAATTTAGAAATTATTTCATCTTGACTTGATAGTGGGAAATGTACCTAAAATCCCTGGTTACACCGAATACAGTTCTGGGGCTAATTATAGGTCTGGAATGCTGTACCCACTACCATCACCACTAAAAATATTTAGCAAACATTTTGCTTTAGAACTGGAGCAGAGAATCCATAGACTGGATCTACTTAATTCATAATTGGAGAAGGCTAACAGAATGTTCCTGTAGCATTAACCCATCTATTCCATTGATCATTGACAATCATTCAAAGGAAGCATCTTATTGTCTCCTATAAGCTCTTTCTTTCTCTGCTTTATCTATCAAAGGGTTGCCAACAGGGAATTATGATGCTGCATCACTGGCTTGCTTTCACCTTCACCAGCAGGATGTGCCTTATTGCTCCTGTCCTTGGTGCTAAGCAGCCACAATGAAATAGTTAGGAATCCCTGCCTTCTTGCTCTTGGCACTACTCTCCTGTGTCTGTAAGTTAGGGGGTCAAGTAGTTTGACAGCACTTTGTGTCCAGAGTAGTTCAAGGATCTGGAGGACATAGCAGAGTAAACAGCACCATCTCTACACTGCTGTTGCAGTTGCAACTGGGTGCATATCATGCAGAGTGAAGCTTGTCTGGATAGACCTTCAAGGAGACCCTGAAGACAAGCCTGTACTTATTCAAAAGGCCATAGATCTGGCTAGTGGGGTAATCAACATTAACTTGAAGGTTAAACCTCTGCGTTGTTTGGAGACTGGCAATAAGGCAGGCAGGTGCCTTGCTTGAGCGGTAGAAACCTGCAATATTTGGATGGCAAGAAAAGGACAACAGGTTTGCAGAAACTGGGAGCAGTGGTGATTAATAGCTGCACCCATCATAAGCCCCGATTGCCTAATCCTGGATTCATTGATTCACTGATTACCATGGAATGCCCTTCACAGAAATAAAGTTCCTAATCCACATTTTAAAATAACGTTAATTATTTATGAAAGCTAGGTAATATAAGAAAACACCATAACTTCCCTTCATTTTGGTAATGTGTGAAGCATCTGTTATTTTAGGTTGCAGAATTCCAGGTATTCTACCCACAGAATGAAATGTTTAGTTTTGGACAAAGGGGAGAGATTCAGGTGCAGGTGCAACTGTTATTCAGTGATGAGAATGACTGAATGAGACTTTGCGTAAATGTTCCTTGGAGGTGCAGCAAGGGTGAAATGAGTGCTGTGATTTAAGAAAGATAATTGTCTAAACATACAGGCCCATCCCGAATATGATACTTCTCGCTGCTTTGCCTTCGTTCATGACTTGAGCAACAATGGAACCCCCTTTCCAATGCCTGATGAGTGTCTTGACGTGGTGGTTCTCATATTTGTTCTTTCAGCAGTTCTTCCAGAAACGTATGTAACTCTGTCACACAGTTCTGTCTGCATAATGGGGGAAGGGGCTTTTTGGTAATAAGCAATAAACTGCAACAGATCAAAAGTCTTTTTCAGTGCAAAGATTAGCTAGCTATTCTGAAGAAAGGCATGAGATAATAGTTGTACAGTATTAAATGTTTCCATATCTTCAGCTGCTTTTGTTGAACAAATAAAAGTGTATCTGAGTAGCTATTATAGTAAGTCTTTTCTTACTCAGTGTATCTGAAAGTTGAGTCATGACAATTGGACTTCTTTCTTGTTAGGTTGAAATGTTTTGCTTCTCATCCAAGTAGCTTCTTCATTCTCAGGAGAGTTGGTAGGAGATCCCTGATATATCCTCCATGTTGGTTTTACTTCCCTCTGGTCTGAATGGAGGACAAAGGACTGGGGGGGTGAGGGATAATCCCACTTCTGCAGTCCTTCTCCACTCATTGTCATGGGTTGTTAACAGTCGTTAATAGTGGTGTTTCTGGTGTGTGTGGTCCTAATCTTTCTGGGGACGGATGCAAAGGCAGCATGATAAATAGGAGACAGATTGTATCTAAGGCCTCCACCCCTGTTGAATGAAGGATTTTCGGTGTGCACATGTACGGCCGCCCTGACCCCTCTCAAATCACCTATCTTCTCTGTCCAAAACAAGTACATCTTGGTCATCAAATGAGTGTCCTTTGTCTTTCAAATGAAGGAACACTGCTGATTGGGGTCTGGAGCCATTGCCCCTCCTGTACTGGGCGATTCTCCTATTTAGCGGCTGTTTGGTTTCTCCAGTGTAGATGTAGTGGCTGTTTGGTTTCTCCAATGTAGAGTTCCGAACACTCCTCTTTGCATTGGACCACATATATTATATGGCTCCTGTTGTTTTGGTGTCCGGTCTTTTGGGTGGATGAGTCTCTGCCTTAGTGTGTTTGTGAGCTTGAAGTGCATGAGTATGTGGTGTTTACCGAAAATCCTTTTGAGCTTTTCAGACACACCCACATTTCAACCTAACAAGAAAGAGGTCCAGTTGCAATGACTCAACTTCCAGATAACCTCACCTGGATGACTGATAATCTTCACAGATACATTCTTACTCAGTGGTTTTCCATTTCCCAGAATGCAGTGCATAATCAACAGGCTTAGCCGGCTTCTAAAACCTGGTGGAATGATTTTGTTACGAGATTATGGCCGTTATGATCTGGCTCAGCTTCGCTTTAAGAAAGGTATGGTGAATGGTTGGATAGTGATACTTATTCTTAGATGTAGTCACTGTGCCTTTGTTCCTCTTATAGGGAAAGAGGGAGATGTTAGTACAGTATTTGATGCGATATTATATTCCACAATTTAAAGAGATGAGCAAATAGTCTTCTGTGCCTCTGCAGGTCAAAATAATGAAACAAAGTGCAAAGCTTTATTTATTTATTTATTTTTGTTAAGCACATGGGAATAGAGTATGTAGTATATTTCCTGATCTTTTAAAGTGAGGGTTGGGTTTTGTATTTTTGAATGGGTGAACACTTTCACCTCTTAAGCTTGTAACATTTTGTCCCCCATGCAAAATGATGTTTCCTATGGGGGAATTTCGCTTTGCGATGATCGGTTCCCTGCTTTGGGAACAGATTCTTCGCAAAATGACGATTTTCCAACAGCTGATCGGTGGTTTCAAAATGGCCACCGGATAAACAAAATGGCCCCCTGCTGTTTTCTGGGATGGATTCCTCGCTGCACAGGCAGCAAAAATGGCCGCCCTATGGAGGATCTTCACTGGACGGTAAGTTTACAGCCCTTTGGAACGCATTAAACGGGTTTTAATGCATTTCAATGGGTTTTTTCTTTTCGCATTACGTTTTCGTTCTACAGGGATTTCGCTGGAACGAATTAACGTTGTAATGCGAGGCACCACTGTACTATGGTGTAATGTAATCGTTTCTAACTTTTGGATGTTGGAGTTCAGCTCCCAGAAACTAGGATTTCTTGTCCAACATCTGGGGATCTTAAGATTGAAAACATGACTAGATTGTTGGACTAGGACTTGGGAGATACAGATATCAAATTTCCACTGAGCCACAAAACTAAGCGGAGTGAGAAACCTTGAACCACTGTTTTTCAGCTTAACCTACCTTAGTTGTATTGTAAGGATAAACAGGGAAGGAGAAGGGCCATGTATACCACCTTGATCTCACTGGAGGATATAATTATATGAAAAAAATAAATACTACTACAGAAGGAAAATATACTTCATAATTTTGACAATGAAAGGTGAATGGTTGGGGAAGGTTGCTTGATAGCAGTCATGTGATACATATGCTGACCAGTAATAGCTTCTTTGTCTTTAAGAAGGAGAGCATAAAAAGATTGCAAAACTGTTTTCAGTGTTAGCTTATCAGAAACGTTCTTGTGAGTGGGAACAGGGAAGTAAGCTCCAGGTTGTCTTAGCTGATTTTTGAACCAGAGACCAGCCATCCTATTTTTGTATTTGTGGATGTAGGACCCCTGCTACCATTATTTGTGAGGAAGAGGGGGCAACAACAATTGTTGTAAATTGAGCTATGGTCAGAATTCTCATTCCTCTCTTCTAGGTCAGTGTCTAGCTGATAACTTCTATGTGAGAGGAGATGGCACCCGAGTTTATTTTTTCACACAAGGTAATCAGTTTGCAGCTCCGGTCACATGCTATGTTAACACTTCACTACAAATTAAATTATTGGTAATCTTTTTAGATTTTTAAAGGACGCATGCCATTGGATTTTTTGGTATTTTCTTGCCATGGATTGTTCTATTTTGGCTGAAAATTGTACTGTGTGGTAAAATGTGATGAACACAAGTAAATGCCAGATTTCCTTTGCCTCTTAGATGAGTTGGATTTGCTCTTCTCTACTGCTGGTTTGGAGAAAGTTCAGAATTTGGTGGACCGCCGTCTTCAGGTTAATAGAGGAAAACAAGTTAGCATGTATCGTGTTTGGATCCAGTGTAAATACCGCAAGCCGCACAAGCCAAAGGCAGACCACACAAGAACTCTCTAGCACAGAGGATAACCTCTCACCATTGTGGTTGAACATAATGAGGACCTCCATGTTGGGGAGCTGGCCCATAATGGAAGAAGGGAAATAATCAGACTCAGTGTAGCAGTACAATTCCATTGTGCTTGTGTCAGAGGCAGAATATTTACTGCCAAAAACCTCAACATTTTGTTTTGTTTTACAATTTGTGGGTTGGGTGGGAAAATGCTAAATATTTGTAATGACTTTGAACACAACTTGCAGCGCCATTCTTGGGGTCTCTTGATTCCGGGAGTGCCCAGGAAAACTGATCCTGGTGGCTGCACTGGTTCTTGCATTCTCTAATCTTTAGCTGCAGCCTCAACATGGCTATAACGAAAATTTTTATCTAGCAACTGCAAAATCAGGACTGTTCTTTTGGTCATCAGTTCAGTTCCTCATGTCTACATTACCCAAATTGCAGTGCAGGGAGGCAAGGAAGTGCCAGCCGGGCTACTTATGCGATTGGCATGGCAGGAATGATTACGGCCCTGCATGCCATGCCATGAACAGTAAGTGGACTGGCCGGTTCTGAAGGCTGGGGTCTAAAGGGCCCAGCCACCTATGATGGTGATATTCATATTTGTCTCCTCTGGAAGACGAATACAAATATCCCATCTGTACTGACTGAGGTTTCGGAGGACAAACAGATGGGTATGTAACAGAACCACTGCAAAAGATCAATTGCAAAGTGTCTATCCCAACTTTATATCCTTGGAAAAAGAAGAAGCATATTTCTCTGAAAAGACACAGTTCACCAAAGCCAGTCAGTCAGCTTGTAGACTTGTCATTCTCCTTAGCTGAGATGAGATGTACAATACAGAATAGTGGATGCTAGGAGATCTTTATGCCAGTGGCGGAGTAAGAATAAATCTCTCCTTACATGTCCTTGAAACTCTGCTCTTCAGATCTATAAGAGTACCTGCTGCATAAGTTTTTATTCCATCATGCAGCTGAAAGTGTCGTCAGTCAACTGATCACAAGCTATGCACTAGCTCTGTGTGGTAGGGGTACACTGGAGGAGCAGAAAGAAAACATTGCTGCTTGCTAACAGAGACTGCCAACATTCCATGATGTCACATTAATTATTTTTAATCTTTATTTCCTGTGTCTGAAAAAGCCATGGTAAGGTTCTGAGGTGTTTTGTATGTGACCATCAGGCTTGCTAGAAACAGTATTTGCCAACAAACAAGATGTTAACATGTATTTTGGCATCACATAACAGGCCCCATTCCTCTCCGCATAGGCATTATCAGTGTGCAATCAAGTCACTATCAAAAAAGTATCTTATTTTTCCGTGTATAAGATGCCCCCATGTATAAGACACCCCCACTTTTCTAACTCAAAATTAAGAAATCTAAGTGGGGCTTAGCAAATGTAGGGTAAAAAGGATCAAAGTGCTGCGCAATCTCACAACTGCACAATCATTCGCTTTGTGCTAAGCCCCTTGTGGCTTAGCAAAAGGGGGAAAGGGATCAAAGACTCTGTGCTAAGCCCCTCGTGGCTTAGCAAAATAAGGGGGAAAGGGATCAAAGCAATCTCACAACTGCACAATCATTCCCTTTCCCCCTTATACAGCCACGGAATTGCTTTGATCCTTCCCCCCTCCTTTTGCTAAGCCCTATGGGACTTAGCAAGCAGAGGAGAAAGCAGGGATCAAAGCGATCCTGCAGCACTCTGATCCCTGCTTACCTTTTGGTAAGGCTTAGCAAGAGTAGGGGAAAGCAAGGATCAAAACCCTGCAGGATCACTTTGATCCCTGCTTTCCCCTCCACTTGTTTTTTTTTCTCCTCAGCTTACTTCCATGTATAAGACAACCCTCAATTTTTAGTTTAAAGATTTTAGACAAAAGAATAGTCTTATACATGGAAAAATATGGTATTTTCATATATGTGAATACAAAGTGACAGAGTATGTGCATGACTCTCATAGCTAGATGAGCATGAATTGCCAAACCAGCTGTTCATATTGGTTTATCCTTCAGCCAAACAAGTGTTTGGCGCTTCCCAGTCCCCTCCTCCAACAGGTACCCAATCAGATGCTTGTCCTCACTTCCATGCCCCCACCTTCAGGCACTGCCTCTGAGTGGGCACCTGACGGAGGAGGAGGAGGAGCTGGGAAGTGCCAAACACCTGTTCAGCTGAATAGCAGCTTGTGCCTATCTCTACTTATAGTCTAAAGATACCAAGCCTACACTTAAGCCTGCCCTGAAAGGCTAGGTGTTCAGCAAAAGGGCATGGATGCTGAATCATAAAGCGGTCATTCTGCAAGCACCTAGAAAACAATGCAATAATTAGCCAACACGGATTTGTCAAGAACAAATCCTGCTAAACTAATTTGATCTCATTTTTTGATCAGGTGACCTCCCTGATAGAGGGAATGCTGTAGATGTAGTATAGCTTGACTTGAGTAGAGCTTTTGATGAAGTGCTCCATGATATCCTGTTTAGCAAGCTAACTAGTTGTGGGCTGGATAGATCAAGTGTTAGGTGAATACTCAATTGGCTACAGAATCATACTCAGAGGGTGATAATTAATGTGTCCTTCTCTAACTGGGAGGAGGTAACAAGTGGGGTACCTCAAGGCTCAGTCCTGGGCCCGGTGCTCTTCAATATTTTTATTAATGACTTAGATGAGGGAGGGCAGGGAATGCTTGTCAAATCTGCAGATGATACCAAATTGGGTGGAATAGCTAATACCCTAGAACAGAGGTCCCCAACCCCTGGTCTGTGGCCCGGTGCTGGTCCGTGGCCTGAGCCGGACTGTAGAAACAGACCTCCCCCCCATGCACTCCCCTCCTTACCTCCCCTTGCACCTGCGTGCACACCTGCGCCCACACGAGCACGCCCTTTGCACATGAACATGAGCGAGCGCCCACACAAGCACCCTCCTGCTCCTTCCGCATGCACGCGGGTGCATGCCTGTGCGAGATTGCACCCACTCCTTTGTGCATGCGCATGGGGGGTGCCTCGCCTTCCCAACTGGTCCACAGGGTTAAAATGGTGACCGCTGCCCTACAAGACAGAAACAAAATTCAAAATGATCTTGTTAGTATAGTGGACTGGGCTGAAAGCAACAGAATGAAAGTCAACAGAGATAAGTGCGAAGTACTGCATCTCAGAAAAAGAAACTAATTGCACAGTTACAAGATGGGGACCTGGCTCAGCAAAACTACGAGCAAGAAGGATCTTGGAATTGTCATAGATCACAAGCTAAATATGAGCCAACAGTGCGATGTGGCCAAAAAAGGAAAATGCTATTTTAGGCTGCATTAATAAAAGTATAGTTTCCAAATCCTGCGAGGTGCTAGTCCCCTTGTATTCAGCACTGGTTAGGCCTCACCTTGAGTCTTGTGGCCAGTTCTGGACACCAGACTTCAAGGAAGCAAGCTAACAAATAGGAACAAGTTCAGATGAGGGCAACAAGGATGATTAGGGGGCAAGAAACCAAGCCTTATGAGGAAAGGCTGAGAGAATCATGTTTAGCCTTGAGAAAAGACTAAGGGGTGGTATAATAGCACTTTTTAAATATTTGAAAGGCTGTCATACAGAGGAGGGGAAGGATCTGTTCTTGATCATCCCAGAGTGCAGGACGTTAAAGATTAACTGCTATATTTTAATCTGAGCAAGACTTTTATGTATGAGGAAGTGGGCTTGATCAATGAAATCTAACATCAAACTAGCATTTAGCCTTTAAGATGCCACATTTTTGTCTTGTTTTCCTTGTTTTGGTCTGATATGCTTGCATATGGCTACTTATTCAAAAACTATAAGTTTGATGACCTCATCTATGCACACTGGCCCACTCACATCTCCATCCAACTTCCCAGTCATCGTGGCAAATCCATGTCTAATTATTTCACCCAAGCCAGCATCTTAGATTATCTGCAGTTATAGAGTTGAGAGCTGCATTTAGCCCTGTCCACTTCTCCCTCTCTTCTGCTCACTGGCCTCTTGATTGCTTAGTCCTGATGGGGTTTCCACCTCTTCACCTGAATTCCCACCCATCATCATGCTTTGGACCAACAGTGTTTCCTAAATTTCCCTTAGATTCCCAACAGCAGGCATAACTAAAACGGTTTGAGTCACTGTTTCAGGTATCACAGGTGCTTTGTAGTTTAGCTCTCACAAGTTTCAGCCAGCATGGCCAGGACTGATGGAAGCTGTTATTTACAGCATGTGGAAGAGATCCTGTGGTACCTGAAGTAACAAACAGGAGAGAGGCAGATGCAGAGTGTGTAGGTCTAGTACAGTAAGAACCACTGTAGCTGTGACTTAAGCCAGTGCTTGCTGTCATACAGATGGCAACTATGCATGAGCTTGGCTGAAAGTTTTTCACAGATGTACATATAGAAAGGGCAAGCCTTTGGAACAGTGCCATTTGCAGGCATGTAGGACAGCCTCCTGCTTCAACACTGTAGGAGAGTGCTCAGGATCCATATCTGTTAGGAAACAGCTGATGAAGATAAGAGGAGTGTGATGGAGAGAAAACAAGTACTGTAACTTGATACCATGTGCATACTGCTCTAGGCACAATGGGGAATTAGAATGGCAACTAAACTGACTGGTGATGCTTAAACGATTTTATAACTGACTTGGTACCCAATTAGTGTGCTGGTACCCAGCAGCTGCTCTGGGTTTGAGAAGTTCACAAAGAACTAAAGCTGCAAAGGACAAAGGGAAGTAGCTACAATGATGGTACATTCCTGTTATCAATTTGGGCACCCGAAAGTATTTCAAGAGGCATAGGATCAAGTAACGAAAATGGGTTATATGGTTATTGCACATCCTTTTTTGGCGGGGGGTGTCCCCCACAAAAAGCAAAAATCTACATAAAGCATACATTTTCATAATGGACTTGACTGCAACCTTTCCCCTTATGTCAGCAAGAAGGTTTTTTTTTTTACATTAATATTACACACCAGAAACCCTCCCCATTCAACAGCTAAAGCAGCCCCATACTCTGTTACTTTAAAGCAAGTTTCAGTAAATTCAGCAGGATTTACTTTGGGGGTAGATGTGTACAGTATTTGAGATCTCTTATTCAGAGGGGTCGCTGTAAGTCGGAACCAACTTGATTGCAGCTAACAACATGTATGCCATTGCATTAGATTTGTCCCAATAAACTGCCAACTTTTTCACAACCACAGCATGCTCATATACTGTACCTTTCATATTCTCCCACAAGCTTATGAAATTTCTCCTCCTCGATCGACCGGAGGACTCCGGAACTCAGAAAAAACTTTTATGTACTCCTGTATCTTGGGTATGCGTAGCCCCCCACGAGTTGTCCACTTCAATATAAATGGCCCATTCATCTCCTTGAGGTTACAAGTCCCTAGAAGTACTGTACAGGGCTCCTCAATCCGGCGCGTCACACTCACACCTCCATGCTTTTAAGGAGACCCTGCCTGCAGGCTTTCCCGACGAAAGACATTCCTGTATCTCCGACTGCCCAACCCGCTGCCATTCACGGGCATGTAGACTTGGCTGCTGCTAGGCGATGACAGACACGCCTCCTCCTTGATGCACGGAAGTCCTTCCAACATATTTCCTCCCGGATACACGGATGCTTTTCGTGTTTTGCAATGATTCCCTCTGAGAGAAGGGCATCCATAGGCTTCAACTTCATTGAAGAAAAGGCGGCACCCTCCCTCCGTCTTACGTTCCTTCACCTGATGCTGCGGCGGACCTTAATTTTGCCACGATCCCTTCGCTCGCTGTCGGTTCTCCCCTGTCACCGGGCTTGACCTCGTGGTCCACGTACAATCACATCCCGTTCTCTGGGCCCTCCCTCAACCATGTCGCCCCACCCCGCATTTTTAGCACCTCCTTGCACTGACCTCTTCCCTCCCCCCCTCCAACCTTTTCTCACCAGCACTAACTTCCCCTCCCATCCGTGCAAATCTCGCGAGACAATATGCGCTTTCACAAGTGGTTTTTTTTCCCCTTGCACCAATCGATCCGGGGGCCGGGCTTAAAAAAAATGACTAAGGGCGGGAGGAAGGGGGGTGTATAGACAAGG